TCTAGATAGTTCTAGATAGTTCTGGATAGTTCTAGATAGTTCTAGATAGTTCTAGATAGTTCTAGATAGTTCTTGAATCCAATATTTACTAAATATGATTCTAGGAGTGTAAGTAAACACATAAACTGAATCTTGTAAAGGTATAAACAGTATATTGTATTCCACAGGGACCAATATATCCATAGATATATCTTTGGCTATACCCATTGATATAAACATGTAAATATCTGTAGTTAGATGTATTCATGTATATATCATTATTTATAATTAATATCCTTTTTTGAAGTAACATTATTAAATTCTGACCAGCAAAATAAAGGAATTGAGTCTTTGTCACAAACTCAAATTTTCTAATCCCTATATTTATGCAACGTTATGGTTTAAACTTTTGATATTTCAAACTTAGATTCTTTGATCTATCAGAATGCATAGTTCTACGACATTGGAATGCAAAACTTAATTCCTTTACCGGATTCATGTGATGTCCCACAGAAAATATTGACTGAATTGGTTTAGCTGTTTAGACGTGATTATTTATACAATTATTTTTTAGTTTCTTAATTAACAATTCAGAATGTTCTGAACTTACTTTAAAAAGCTATATGTATCTATATATATATATAGAAAAATATAATCCATGTAACTGTATACCTCTGGCTTGATCCCAACTCCATAAATTTGCATTTATTTCCTCTATTTTAAGGATTTTATTGGAATAAATGGGAGATCTAACTTTATTTGTTTCTTGGATCCATCCATCCATTCTACTCTAGCTTTATCCTAGTTCATGGGGTATATATTCCTTCCCCCTTCCATTCGACTCTGACTTTATCCTAGTTCATGGGTATATATTCCTTCCCTTGACCACCTGCTCCAGCTTTACTTAGTTCATGGGTATATATTTCTTCCCTTGACCACCTGCTTTCTTAGTCTGCTCTTAATTTTGTTTATATGGTTACCGGATAAATATTTACCCCCTTCCCCCCCTTTAAATCTGTATCCTTCTTAATATATAAAGATACTTTGTTTTGGTGTTTGTTTGTTTATAACTGAAAAACTTTAATATGCAACTCTGGCTTTATCCTAGTTCATGGGTATATAGTAGAAAGCAGTTGAGGTGTCAACACCTCCTCTCTCTGAGAGAAAGCATGCAAAAGGCTTGCAAATATATTCAGGACTAGGGCCGCAACCCTTTTTACTGTCAACAAGAATGGGTTCACACCCTTTGCTAATAGTAGATGTCAAAGTCTACTACAGACAACGAGTATGGGTTCACACCCTTTGCTAATGGTAGATGTCAAGTCTACTACAGTCATTGAGTATGGGTTCACACCCTTTGCTAATGGTAGATGTCAAAGTCTACTACAGTCAACATGAATGGGCTCACACCCTTTGCTAATGGTGGATGTCAAAGTCTACTACAGTCAACAAGAATGGGTTCACACCCTTTGCTAATGGTAGATGTCAAAGTCTACTACAGTCAACAAGAATGGGTTCACACCCT